TACTGTGGACACGCTTAAAAACAGACACCTATAGCTGTACATTGGAACTAAATAATAAAAATACATAAGATTTAAATAAAAAACACATTTAAAAAAGCTCAAATAACTAAAACAAAAGCTAAAAAAAGAAAAGAAAAAAAAGGAAAAAGTGTTTTAAAACGAGTTTTAAAAGTAGACAGTGAAGGGGCCTCTCCACCTGCAGAGGCGACTGGGCACGATAGAAAAAGCCTAGTCGCTTCTGCGCTTCCTACTGGATCTTGGTCAGCTGACCTGAGACACTGACAGGGTGTGCAGGGATCAGGAAGTGCAGAGAGGGAAGGTGGGGCAAGATTGTGAAAGGATTTAAAAACAAACGTAAGAATTTTAAAATGAACTCTAAAAGACACAGGCAGCCTGTGCAGCGAGGCCAGGACAGGGGTGCAGCTGACGCGAAAGTAATGACCCACTGACTCAGTGGTCAGTGACGTCAGACAGAAACTACAGTTTAACAACTTGAATGAATGTGTTTCCTTGGACCTTACGTGATATATGTCACATCTTGCTCATAGTACATAATAATGTCCCTCAGGGAATGGTTGATGTGACAAGGGCTGCTAATATAAAAGTGGCCTGTAGAAGAACAGTGTTTCCTAAATTTCTGAAGGACTACGTGCATTTTGAAACATGCCAATTCCTGATTATGGCAATAAGTTTCACACATCAATCTACGGAGAGATAACGAGAGCTCTGTTGACCTGATTGATGGTGATCTCATCAGTGTTTCCACTCCTCTCTGACAGGAAAACCACGTCGACTTGGGGAGACTCCTGAAACTACAGTTCATAAAAAGCTCATACACTGTTCATACCAAATAAAAAGCATCCAGGCACACGGCTAACAACCTGAGAGAAGCGCACTCACCTCTGGGTCTTCCCGTTCTTGTTTGATGTTTTTCTTCTTTTTAGCAACAGGTTCAACTCCAGAGTTGCTCGTGCGTTGCACCTTAGCAGAGCTCTTTTTCTTTTTGCTCTTCTTCTTGTCACCAGCTTCGCCACTCTGCTCATCCCCCTGAACCTCCTGTTTGTCTTCTTCCTCTTCACATTTTACCTTTTTTCTTTTCTTCTTCTTTGGCTCTTCTTCCTCTGCATTGGTAGACTCCACAGTAGCTATTTTACATTTACCCTTTTTTACCTTTTTCTTAAATTCTGTCGTTACTTCATCATCAGTAGTAACAATAACACTGTTTGTTGATTTCTCTTGCTTTTCACTTTTTCTAACTTTGTCTGATGCTGCGTTGCTCTTTTTGTTTTTGCCTTTAACCTCTGTTGTTTCTACTCCATTTTCTTCTTTAGTCTCAGTTTCTTTCTTTTTCTTCTTTTTTATTTTTACGTCCTCGTGTTCGATTTTTTCTAACTTTATGCCATTTTCAGCTGCTTTAGCTTTCTTTATTGTTGCTCCTTCCACAGTTAAAGGGCATTTTTGTTTTTTCTTCTTTTCTTTTCTTTGCCCTTTGGTCGCCTCTGTGCTCATATCTAAAGCATGTTGCTTATCTTTCACTTTCTTGGGCAGACTGTCTTGTTCCACTTGCTTTTCTTCCTCCTCTTCTTTTACCATATTTTCTCGTTTTATTTGTGTAGACTTATTCTTTACGTTCTTCTTCTGTTTCTTATCCACTTCCTGCTCTTTTACTAAAGTATCTGCAGTTTCTACATAAGCCTCGCCATCAGCCAACACCTTATTTTTCTTCTTCTTTTCTTTGCTTTTCACCTCAGTCTCCTCTGTGCTCATATCTAAAACCTGTTTTTTCCCTTTCTTGACTTTTTTGGGCAGATTATCTTTTCCCACTTGCTCCTCTTCCTCTTTCACCATGTTTTCTTGTTTAATTTGTGTAGACTTATTTTTTCCTTTTGTCTTCTTCTCTTTCTTTTCCACTTCCTTCTCTTTTACTAAACTCTGTGTAATTTCTCCTAGACTCTCACCATCTGCCAGCAGCCTCTTCTTCTTCTTCTTTTTGGTGACATCTTGTCCATCAGTGACCTCAGAGTCATTGACATCATCCAGAGAATCTGTTTTCCTCTCCTTCTTTTTCTTATTTTTTTCCTTCTCACCATTTCCGTCCCAAGACCCGTCTTCGATCCCCACAGCATCAGCCATTTTGCCTTTCTTCTGTTCTTTTCTCACCTCTTTTAGGCTGGAATCATCAGCTTTTCCTTTTTTGTGTTTCTTCTCTTTCTTTATATTATTTTCCTCACTCTTCTCTTCCTCCATCTTCATTTTCATGATTTCTGAATGCCTCTCCTCAGCTACAGGTCTCTTGCTTGACTGGTGAGAGAAAGTTCACTGTTACTTCAAGTTTCTATTCTGTGTTTGTGGAACAGTGAATGACAGAGCAGTAAACACTAACCAAAGGTTTGGCTGGCTCTTTGGGTCGGGACTGCTGATCAATTTCTCTTTGGAGGGCCAGTCGCTTTGCCTGAAGAGAACCAATCAGAACTGGACATAAATATTTGTAATAAAAATGGACAACCCCACCGCAACACTGTTTTGTGTATTGGTTAGCAAGTCTGGATTACTTTGTCGCCTTGTAGCGTTAAGAAGTCAGAATAAGATATTCCGATTAGGTTGGATAATCAGTACCTGATCAATTGTGATTTCAATGGGCTTGTGACAGGACCTTTCAGAAACAAAAACTACGTCCTCATCGGAATCCGTCTGAAACATAAAAGGGAAATATCAGCATCCATTCAGACACATCTCTAAGCTAACCGGTCCATGGTCTCAAATATTTAGAAAAAAAATGAAGTTAAAGCTTTACTAAAACACCAGGTGTTGTGTTTGAATATGCACGTTAAAGGCAAAATAATATATATAATATATAACAAAACTAAGCGATTTGATTCAAGATAAGAAGACCAGGTTTATGCACAAAACGCTACAGGTAACTGGCCACGCTAGCTTATTAGCCAACGGGAGCTTACAGTAAAAAAAAAGTTAATCCGATCCAGAACTGAACAGTTTAATTAGTCAGACAATTACACTATTTTGGCACAAGCGCATCGGATATTGTAAAATACAAACTTCAAAAGCGATTTACTTACTTTGCACACTTTTACAATTCACGTGGGTAGCGTTTTACGTTCGCGACCCGGAAGTAGACTTTTCTCTTCCTGCTAGAGACGAGAAAGGAGTCCGTAGCAACGGAGGCGAGCTGCTAAACAGTTTGACAGTTGTTTAATTTTTAATTTTCACTGTTTTTGTTTGTGTTAACCATCAACATTAAAACGATTAAAAAATATTAACTAAAATATGCACAATTTTCAATTGTAACCCAAGTAGGACCAAATTCAGAACTCATAATTACTTTGTCTTTATTTAAACAGACGTATGTAGTTAGATGTATGATTTGCTTATGATAATGTTAAATACCCTCAAGTTATTACTGTCAGTGTCATTGAGGAAAAGTGACGATGCAAGTCAGCAACGCCTAACAGACGTCTCTTTGAAACATGTCTTGTGATTTGAGGCTGACTTTAAAGCATGATCTCACTTGAAACTTGCAAAATAAATAACAATGCTGTGTATTTAAGGTTATTATGCATACTTTTTATAGTGGGATTTTAGATATGGTTGTGTGTGCTGAATTTCTTGTGCAGGTGGCAGAATTTCTTATGAAATGGCAAGGGGAGTGAGATGAGCCTAATGTGCCCCTGTCAAAGTTGTACTTCCCCCTTTTTGGGTGACATTCCAGTATTGACAATACACTTGTGACAGCAGATAATATCATTGAGCTTCAAATGCACTTTGTTCATGACACAAATAACAGCTCAATTATTCCAAGCCACTTACTTACCACAGGGGAAGGATGCATTTTACACCAGATGTCCTTCCTAATGTAACCCTCCCATTTATTCAGGCTTGTGATCCCTGAGGCTGGGTTTGTGTCGAAAAAACAGGTATCTTTCAAAGCAGGATCCACAACTTAAACACATAGTTTGAGGAGAAATTTTGGGAGTTTGGCAGCGAAATCCCTGTTATTTTAACAGTGAATTCACCCTGCTGACTTCTGTTACAACCAGGGATTAAAATGGTCTGAAATGATGTGGCACCTTAAGTAAATTAGTAATTTACATCTCTTTAACGCATGATAAAATCAAGCCACTTAATTATTCATGTTTTGTGTCCAGCATTCTTACAAGCCTTTCTAAACATAGGCTCACCCCCCCCCCCCCCCCCCCTCCCCTTTAGTCTAAACAAAGCCAGAAGCCAGCGACAGGTCTCCGATGCCTTTATTAACATGTAACCCTCCCCCTGCAACCTCTTGTAGCCAGCCATTGCAGATCCAGCCATTAGCTTTATACTCTTCCATGTGCATGACAGTCATTTTGACCAAGCATACAGTTTTCTGTCACCCAGCTTTCATTTTGGAAATGGACGTTTAAGAAGCCGCATCCGAATCCAGCTCTGCTCCTAGTAGCTAGCTGCAATCCTCCTCCATCTCCATCATCCAGCAGGCCATGCTTTTGCAGGTCCCTGACGTTCTTACTACTGAAAGCTTACTTATTTTTAGAAGACTCCCACATGCAGTGAGGATTTTTGGCTATTTATGTGATATGACTTGGCTCGTGATTTAACATAACACAGAGAAGGGGGATGTGTGTGCCTTCATATCAGTAGTTTCAGTCCTACTAAATAACACTCAAAGCTAATGATATAGCTTAAGTATCATAAGCAGATTTGCATATATATTAAGTTTTAAAATACACTCTAGATCAGGATTGTTAAGGAGAATGTGTGGACTAATATGTGGACCAATTTTAAGGATAATCTTTTCAGGAAACATACATTTATATGCTTGAAGTGTTGCTTGGAAACCAGTTTGGTGTTAAAACAGTTGCACCATTTCTTTCTTTATTTGTGATTCAGTTACAGTGCACTGAACACTTGACGACGATACATCTGAACTAGATGTAGTAGTACCTGACTTTATAGTTATCCCAACAATAAAAACAACAACACCAGGGTATATTTAACAGAATAGGTGCACTGATGTATTAGTCACTTTGTGCAAATCACATTACAGACATTCATGTTATGCTGCCATAAAACAGTGACAGAGCTATCATTATAAGAGGATCTCAAATAAGAAATACCAGTGCTTTTTCACATTTGGAACAACTACAGTACATGTTTAAAAATCAGTTATATAGGCTTAATACATTAAAAAAAATCCTACAATGATCATATTTTCATTGTACTATATTAGAACACAAGGCTTTACACAAAAGTAAAATCACTCACAGTTTAGTTGTTTAGTGTTATAGTAAGAAGAAATGGTCTCAAGATTAGAGAAGAACATTGTGAGACCTGCTTTTCGACCTCATTTTACTAACTTGTTCAGGATTGGATTCAGAATTCAGTCTCAAAGTTAACTGAGTCTTAATAGGTTAAATTCAACACAAACTTTTCAGCATTGTAATTAAATGGGCTTGATTTACTAAACAGGACAAAATAGTGCGTGAGCACGATCCCCAAATAGCACTTACAGGTGTGGTTAGTTATCTAAACACACCCACTTTCAGTTCATTATAATATCAATTGCAAAAAATGTGATATGCTGTTTTTCAGTGTAAAATATCACGACTGGATCGGTCACAAAAATCTCTGAAATCCCACCTCTGACATGCAATCTTGTTACTGCAATGTCTTTGTTAATACTGATGTTACTTTTTTTTCACACCAAAACCCAATTTCTGCTTGTGCAATACGTCAGCAAATCTGGCCCAAAATATCAAAGGTTTCCAGTTAAATTTACAGTTATGCCAAATCTTTTCATTTTGTTTCATGGAATTTAAAGTTTAACTGTAAAGTGGGAAGAAAATGCAAGAAAACCCTTTGGAATTATCAAAATAACCCTACATGTAAACTTACATGTGATATCCCACATAGTGTTATCATTTTGGGCCACTTTTGTTTCTGTTGCGCCTGGGACTCCACCAAGTGATCACCACCATTAAGCTTCAGTATAATGTAAGGATGGGTGGTATTAAGCTGAAGTCTAGTAGAGGTTAGGTAAGAAGGTAATAATGAGAACAATAAGCCTAACCTGAAGTAAAATCATCATCTCTGTCTTGCCAACATACCATAAAGCCTGCTTTGTTGTCATTTTGACTGAGGTGGGACCATAATACACAAAATTAATGTTTTGTTGTAGTCAAAAAATGTGAAACAACCGATTAAGACCTTAAACTCATAGGGGAAGTTCTTACAAAGGTGGGAATCAAGGGAGCCCAGACTTTTATAAATTTTGACTTCTTTTTGCAACATCAAGGGCCCCTGCTGACCGTTAGAAAGAACCCATGTTTAAGGCACTTTGGCACTAGCTTTACTTATCAGACTCAGAAGCTACAGCCATCTTTTATATACATTTTATGGCTTTCTGGAATGAATTTATTAACCAGTGTACTACAGAATGATTTCAGTGAAATATAATCCTAAAATGAACCCAGGAGCATCGTTATATGACAGTTTAGGGAGGTATAAGATCCAAGGTTCATCATTTTTCCTTTGTCAATATATATATTCACTATGTTTAATGAAGACTAATGACAGCTGTTTATTTCTCACCACCAGTTAATGGATAAAAACCCAATAAAAAAATTTAGATTTTTAATTCCAAAGGGTTTACTTTTTCTGCCATTTTTAAGATTTTATCATACATCTAAAAAATGTTGATAATGCACAATAAACTCTGCAAGACAAAACAGTCTGACCACAGAAACGGTTACCTGTTTCTTTTAGGTTTACACATACCTGGCCTTCCTCAGCAACGGGATTTGCTTGATTGTCCAGAAATTGTTTTATTTTTAAATGTAAATTTTCTGACTTATTGGCTTAGAGGGGTGAGACTGTTTTGTCAATGATCTCTCCAATGCCAATTTATTAGAAACACAAACAACTGGTCATTTTCTTTAGTATACAGTTATTAAAATTCTAGAAAACAAAACACTTATGTTTTGACAAAATACATTACCTTTAAACTGTGCTTTTACATGCATGTCCAGTAATGTCAAATATCACAATTCCCAGATGTAATCAGTGCTGATAAAGTGCAAAATTACAGCCACTAACAGTAAACCCTATTTACTAATACTGCAGGATTAGTGCTGCAGTATTAAATGGCTTTTTATCATAGGCTTATTAAAAATTAACCTTGTTTAAAAAAAACAATCCACAAGCTGTAGAGTTTTTATTCACCTTTTAAAATAAAAGTCCTCCACAGCCCTGCACGAGATCTGCTGAATACAAAGCCTTTATGAGTAAACACTGTGAATGTGGCAAACTGCCCAACAGTACTTATATTGGAAAGGCGAGGGATAGAGAGAAAATCACTATGCGAATCCTTTGGGACTTTCCAGGATGAAAAACAGAGGCTGTGCAAGCATTGTGGGTGTAAGCAGGTATTTTACATACCTATCCTAACAGCTTATTTGTAGTTGTAGCTTGAATGCAAACAAAAAAATAATAATAATAATAAATGACATACAAAGTGCATTTTTATGAAGTAAGCATGGTTGATAAACAAAAGTTAGAATGTTGCAGCACTGGTTTGGTGCTGCTCAGGCAAAAGAGTTTACCTCAACACATTCAAGTCTTCCTCTAAGCTCAACTCTGTCATGGTTTAACAACAGGTCATTCAATATGTCTCTTTTAATATAATATAATAAAAAAAAACACTTTAAATATAACATTTAGTTGTGCTAATAGACTTCTTGTTCTTGTGTGTATGTATTATAATTCAGATTACACGTGTTCATCGAAAAATGCATCATCGAAAAATATCACTTTACTGAGAGATGTCGCTTTCTCTTCCCTCTCTTGTTCCTTTACATCCATCAAAAAAGCCTTCGGGAAAATGTAGGCAAAAATACCACTAGTTTCTTTTTAAAATGCCAAATCTGCACATGTGTGGCAAAAAACACAAACACAGTAAACATAGCTATCTCTTATGAAGTCGCTTCTTTGTGATATGTACCGTCTTTAATACTTCTTCCCTCAAAAATGTGACTGAAGTGTGTCCTCTTCAACATTTGCCCCGTATATTACCATAACCGTCGTCCAGTGTAGTTAACTGGGGCTGTGGGCATCTATAAGACACGAACAAGTAGTGAGAAAGTACAGCATTCTACTGTATCTAATCTACTGTACAGTCATGTTATTCCAGAGTGATTTAGAGGCAAAAACGCAGTTTGTGTTTATGGCATACTTACTGTACCACCGTTCATCACTAGAGCCATCTCGGTAGGTTGGTAGACATGCCCTCTGAAGGCGATACCAGGACGCATACTTCCATGGCTACCGTGGTATGTTCCGCTTCGGAGAGCTGGCACGCACACACACAAAAGATGCATTTGGTACTAAGAATAACCAATGTGTCATCTGATTATAATTATTACATAACCTTGAAAGTCCAAGCAGCTGACTTTAAGTATAACTTTCATACTGATCATATACCTTTTTGTGATCTTTATTTGGATGAATAAACTACAGCCATGTGAAAGAGAAACTTGTCAGAGGGCTCTGCATTGTGTCAGCCACTAAGTACACCCTTACTGCTTCCATAAGAATTAAAAGGGTAAGTGGCATCCAGTTGCTGCTAATCAAATGCACTTGATTTGTTGATCACTGGTTCGTGTGGCACCAACCACATGGGTTGGTGGTTTGTTGATCTGAAGCATTCAGGTGCCACAATCTTCCCAGCAAACATCCCAGTAAATTCACCCCAAGGTAAGGCCGTGTAGTGCTTAGAGGAAAAAATAACAAACAGCTGCATCTCAGACTCTACAACACTCAGTTAACTTGCAAAATATTTAAATTCTTGACAGCACAGTTAAAAAAGACAAGAAGTATGGCTTGTTTAGAAGGGCTGTCAGAATAATATCGTTCGGACAGACAAAATTAAAGTGAAGATGTTTGGCCAAAATGCCTTTCGCCCAGTTGAAATGCTTTGGTGTGACCTTGTGAGAGGTGTGTGAGTTATTGTTGCCAAAAGTGGTTCAACCAGTAATTGAATCATGGGCTGTACTTAGTTTGTCACAGGACTGCATAGAGTCCATTGAAGATTTATTATTTATTTATTTATTTATTCTTAATGCAGTGAGATGTAGGTGGGTGCCTTTCCATAACAAAATTGCTTACTGCTCATAGCAGTAAGCAATTTAAATGAATTCAGTTCTACATTTTGACTCATTTGAATTAATTGAACACTTGTTTTGTTGCCTTCTTTGTTCTGTTCTCTTTTCATGTCATGCATTTATTTCCCACACTTGTTTTCTCAGTTACTTCATGCCTACTGATTCTGTCTTTGTCCTTTCTGCCTCTGTTCTTTTCTACAGGCATCTCTGTTTCCTGCATGTTTCTGATTTGCAGTAACTTACAAACCTGCTCAGTACATACTGTTGCTGTTGCTCAGTGCCCTTTGTTTCACTCTGCTTTTATAGACAGATTGAGGCAGATGACTGCTCATACTCAGTCTAGTGACGTCCAAGGTTTCTTCTTGTTAGCGTTCATATTAAGTCTCCTGCAAAGACTGAACACTTTAAATTTGCTGGCGTTCTGATTTGTATAAGTTCATTTCATGCCGCACTATGTGACATGGATTTAATATACCTGGGCTGGAAATCAAGTTTGGTTCATGTAGACTCTGTGCTTAATGAAAACTGCTCTGTCACGAGCTATGACGCTTTGCTATTTGTTTCCACTACATTCCCTTAGTTGCTTTCACAAAGGCAGCTGTTGACATGCTGTATTTAAAAAAAAAGGAACTGCTGGTGTTGAGTTGATTAGTGCGTCATTTCAGCTGCATTCCTGGTTGGCTGGTTATTTAATTGAAGTAGGTCACAGCTACCGTGAAATTGTGAGATAGTTATCCTTGATTTCTAACACTGTCAGAATTTTGTCCCAGGCTATCTTTGGTTGCGAGACCATTACAACAGCCAACTTTAACATCTCTCACTGTGCAATGCAGGATCTCATGTTTTGAATTTTTTTAGTAAGTCAGACATGTTAGCAGCCCAACCTCAGTCTCTTAGCAACTTTCTGAAGTCACTACAAGTACAGTGTTGTGTCTTGATGCATGCTCAGTCATCCAGGTAAGTAAATCTCCAAAAGTTGGTTCTGTTCATCTGGACGTAGCGTTTTGTGGGAGAAACGCTTCGTCACTCATCCAAGTGACTTCTTAATTTAATTAATTTAAATTAATTTAATTTAATCTTAATTGTGCAAATAGACTGCGGAGTCCTGGCCTGACGAGGTGGCTCTACCTCATCAGGCCAGGACTCCGCAGTCTATTTACACCTACAGGCCAGTGGACACTCTTTCAAGGATGAGGATGTACACATCCTGGACAGGGAGGAACGCTGGTTTGAGCGCGGAGTCAAGGAGGCCATTTACGTGAAAAGGGAAAGACCATCTCTGAATCGAGGAGGGGCCTAAGGGTACATCTGTCACCACCTTACAATGCTGTGATTGCAGCCATTCCCCAACTCTGTGTGAATGGTCCTCATGGCCATTGATCAGTGGGCTTTGGTCAGTGGGCTTTGATCAGTGGCTGTTGATCAATGGTCATGAGAATTTGCACAATTAAGATTAAGGAACTGACCTCCCAGCCCATTGTTCCTTCACTGGGCTGGTTTCAGTCATTATGCAAATGTACTGGTTATAAGATTGGGGAAACCTGCAGTCAGCTGAGACTGAAGAAGTCATTTGGATGAGTGACGAAGCGTTTCTCCCACAAAACGCTACGTCCAGATGAACAGAATCAACTTTTGGAGATACAGTGTTGTGTCTGCACTGTCTTGTGTCTGTATCGTGTATCGACTTAAAAGACATGTGCTTGATGAAGAACGATTTGATAAACAAGCCCCTTTCCAGTGTTTTTGAAAGGCGTAGCTAATATCAAATCAAAAATGAGCATGTACTTTTTTTAAATTCTCAGTTTCAGCATGTTTTGCAAACATTGCATTCTTTCTTTATTTCCATTGTTTAGACTGTCTGCATTCATTTTTACAGTTTCACCTGAGCAGTGGTCTGATTGGAGTATATAAAAACACCTGTATGGTTATGACTGAATCACTTCCTACTTAGCTTTTCCTCATGGAATGTGACCTCATTAGTTTAGTCCTTATGTATTATTTATAAGCCATAAAATGTGCAGATCTGCATTTTGGTTGGGTTTGTAGAGAGTAAGTGGAATCCCATGTTTTTCTCTCTTCATGAATACATTCCACATTACAGACACTGAAACAAAAAGATGACAAAACATTTCCCATTTCCCAGCAATGTAAGATCTGTGTTATCATTTTTATGGCACAATAAGATAATGCACAACTTGTTTGTGTTAAATATCTGTGCTATGTTGTATTTACTGTTTATTTAAGTGCAACAATTCAAGAAGAATCTAAGTTTTTCTTAGTCTACAGTATGTTCCATTTTTACACGTTTGAATTGTCTTTTGTTTTTTATTTGTTTCATTTATGTTAGGGGAAATAAATTAAACTCAAAACCAATAGTTTAACCTAGAGATTTAGTAATACTACTTTGAAAAGTCATTTGGTTACATGTGTAGGTGCACAGAGTTTGTCTATGGAGACCTGGATGGAGAGTAAAGACCTGCTAAACTGTGAATCATTTTTTAATAAATGTTATGACTGTGTCAGAAATTCCAGAATGATTCACTACATATACTAACCTTAATAGTGAATGATAAAACATGTAACAATAGAATGAGACTCAAACTTCTCATTTGACTGAGATTTTTTTTTAGCAAAATTCTTCTGAACTGTATTTCCCATGTGCCCCAGTGCAAAGGTACACGTATCCCACAGTGCCTCACAAGAAACTGTACAACGGAAGGTCACCATCCAGCCCTCGCATACTATCAAATACTGCATCAAAAGAAAAATGAGAGCAGTGCTGTAACTTAAACTGTCTTGAAAGGATTTGTTAGTATTGCTCAGTATATTATGTCTTAATCACAAAAATGCTTAGCAGTATTTATTTATTTTGCTGATTTTGATCTTTCATTTAAATGATGCATTAGCAATTATGCAATAAATTGGCACTTAGAAAGTCACACCATTAGTGTCCAAGAGTGTTTGCTGTTGGTGGTGTTTTTCTTTTTTCCATTTTGCGACTGAGCTCAGTTCACACTCGTCTACATAACATGACTTAATATGGAGCAGCGAATGGGAATGAGACACAAGCAGTATTTTTATTGTTGTTTGGTTCTTTTGTTTGTATGGGGTTTCTGTTGTTTTTTTTTTCATAAACTGAGAAGTGGATCATTTTTAGGTATTACACACACTCACCAGCTGCCCTTACAAACTCACGGTTTTTAAAACATAGCTTAGACTACATTATCAGTTATATAACTAAGAGAAACCTTTACCTTTTACTTTCAACCACAAATTAAATTCTCTTTTAAATTTCTCTTTCTTCTAGATCTGACTGCCTATTAAGAAGTCTAAAAGGATCACCAAATATCATCATCATGCTGGAGACTGCATGTGCCTTTCTATTCCCTTCACTCTTTGTTTATCCTGGCTTATCGAGGCTTAGCTCTTCATCTGTGCATCTCGCTTCAAATAAATATAGCGAGCAATCAAAGTGAGATGACTCATAACTGTACTGCAGTAAAAGCCTGTTGAAAAATCAGACATTTTCTGAGGTTTAATTGGATTCTTCCCATACAGTACCTAGAAATGAGCTTCCCTGTCTGTAAATAAGACTACTTGCCATTCATGGTTGGATGGTGATGTAGTTTTTTTCATGTATGATGAATGGAAAACTGGCCTGCAATTCAAAGTAGGATTAGTTCAGTTATTACTGTAAAAAAAAAAAGAAGGTGATTAAAAGCAGAGGATTGACAAGCAGCAAAGAAGGCAGTAGTGTGTCATGCACCATAACCATGTACCCATCAGATTTTTCATTTTCAGTCTCCGCTTGACTTGAAATATTTTGGTTAACCTTGTGTTTTCATGAACTCGTGAGAGGCTCAAAGAGTTTTAATGGGAAAAATGTAAATGTGGTTGTAAGATACCAATTTTTATATCTAATTGATATTCAGATTGATCTAACATAATTTTATTTTAATTAATATTCTTTTATAAATTATTAATAAAAGTAATTTGGAACTGTAACATTAAATGTATTCAATCAATTAAAACGATTTATTTCAATTTTATGTAACATGTCTGAGATTTTAAAAAGACAAACCACATGAATTACTTTTGTTGTTTTCTCCTTTTTCATTTCTCTTCATAAGGTTGTCACGGTCCCCATTTTTGTTGCCAGTTGCCTAGCAACAGTGGTCTCATAATTTACTGTAAAACACTCAAATGCTAAACGTATTTTGCTCTCAACCTAACATATTGAAACTATGACCTAATAAGTTCCCTTTTTTGTTAGATTAGTTATCTCTGTCACTCAGGTATAGACATGCACACACGTCACATAGGCTTACTTGCACTGTGTTCCTCCATTGAAAAGGCCTGGTTCTCTTGGAAGGATCGGTGCGAATGTGCAGGGAGCTCATCTCCGTAATGTGAAGGAGGAGACGTGTGACTGGTGTCAAAGAAGTCTTGCGTGTCGGATTGTGAAGTTTTCAGGAGACACAGGTGAGTCTCTGGGACAGCGTGGAACAGGAGCAGAAGCCATCCCTGAATAACCAGGGCGACAGCCAGTGCAGGCTCATCGAACACTTTTGCATCCTTATTCCCCCCTCCCTTCTCTCTGTTCCCCCTTCCCCTTAACGTCTGGCTGCCGTAAAGGTAAAACCCCAGCCAGGCCACCCATAGTAATGCTGATGCGAGACTGGACAGGACGAGCCAGATTGCGTTACACTTCCATTTCCGTCTTTCACTATCTCCTTCTCTGTCTTCGTCATTGCCACTTCCTCCATCTACTGCCAGCTCTCCACCACACAGCACCACCCCAAGAGAGAGACCCATGGCTATGAGAAGAAGCCCCAAAGTGTAACTGCAGGTAAGGGCAAAGTCTAAAGGTGGATATTCACAGGCTGGGTGACCCTCCCTAACTACAGTCAGCAGCACCCATTCGGCAGAGATTATCCCCTGAACCAAGGCCAAGGCCAGACCGAGTGCTGCAAGGGAGCTGCCAGATGGGCTTGCCTTTCCAGCTACCAGCCTCCTGAGCCTCACACCCTGCACCAGTAAGCTGGAAAAGCAGAGGGCAAAAAGGGGTCCCCAAAAGGCCCTTCGAACCACACAGAGCGCCTGGTTCTTCCCCACCAGGAAAGCCAGAGAGATGGTAAAAAGCCCAAGAAGTGTGCCCAGAAGCAGGAGTAGAGGCCCCAGGCTGGAGCGCTTGGCAGGGTCAGAAATGGAGCGCATCTTGACTAGCAGGAGCACAGCGAGGACCACTGATGTGAGACCACCGCTGCAGGCCACAGTTTCCAGAACAACACCCCAGACTGATTCCAGGTCGCAGAGCACCCTGTATGGAGGATCCACATCCACACTACATCCCCGGGGAGGAGGTGGCGGAGGAGAGGGGTGGGATGACCCATAGCAAATGAGTGGCAGGAGGCAGATGATAATGTGGCTGAGAGCCATCTTAGAGACAGAGACAGAAAACAGTGTACTGGTGAGAAGAGACAGAGAAAGGGTTAAAAGAAAGAGACAAAGATACAAGTACAGGAAGGTTACACTGGGGTGAAAGCTCCAGAGAAGAGGGAGGCAGGGATGTGAGTGTGAAGGTAAATTTCTGCATATTAGTTCCTACTGCATCCTCACAACACCGTAGAAACAGCAGTCAATATCTGTTAACATCCAATATACCTGTTGTGTGAGATGTTTCAAACACACACAGACACATACTCGCGCATTCAATCCACACGACAGACCTGCTTTTAGCACTGGGCAATAGTTTCCATGGAAACGGGAAACAGCGTGGGCTGGCTACATTGCACACTGGGCTTTTGAGAAGTCGAGTTCAGTACCCCAAATCACAGAAAAACATAGGAGTATGCACACACACACACACACACACACACACACACACACACACACACACACACACACACACACACACACACACACACACACAGACTCAGTGTTTGTACTGATTACTGAGAATCACATTGGTTAAAAGGTTTCCTTAGAATGACTCCAATCACAGTATAAACCCAATCAATTCAACATTGTACAAAAAAGTTTTAACCCTCAAACTGTAAACAAGCAAAGGCAGAAATGTCCTTTTAAGGTCTGAAACTGAAATACAAGAATAAGTTAATACACATAATGAACACAAGCACAAACCAAATAAAAAAAATAAACAAAACATCATCAAAATTTCAACACAGTTTGATTTTTCTAAGAATCTCCAACTCACCTCAGATAAAGTCTTCACTTGATTTCCTATTATTGAGGGTGCAGAGGTATCATAATTTTCCACAAATCATTTTTGGCATCACTTCACTTAGTTGAAGTAATTTTGTATTCCCTGTTAATGAAATCCTTGAGGCAGCAGAAACAAGTCGGTTTCCATTTTGTCTTTCAAAATGTCGCTGTCTGTGCTCACAGCTTCCACTGTTTTAAAGTACAAAATAACACAATTTGAAAGACCAGTAAATGTCCTGCTGATGCACTGACTTGTCCAGCTGCTCCAAGAAGAATCCACAATTATGATGCATGCCTTGATACTTCACACACCCACACAGTCAAATATATCTTCTGTCTCTTTCACTCGTCTCTCTCACTCTCTGCCTCACTCTCTCGCTCCCTCTGTCGTCTTTCTATCCATTCTGTCTGCATGTCTGCGCCGCTCTCTCTCCCTGCTTCACGCTGAATCTGTGGAGGTGTCAGAGATGCAATCCCAGCTTACTTTCGTTCACCCACACACTGGGAGTATGTTGAGTATGATTTGCAGATGCACCTGTATAACTAGGAAGAAGATAGGAAATAAGTGCAGTACACAAACATCTCACAGTCAGCCCAGGATTAGTCACTAATTTGCACATTCAAGCTCCCACGTCTTCCTCTTACCACTTGTAAAAGTCTTCTGCACACCCATAGTTGTGGGAGGTATAGATTCATCTTTCATCAATAAATTATACCAAAGCTATTTTTTCAGGTGGCAAGATGTCTATTGATGGTTTGCATGTGTCAACATGATATAAAATGATGGGTGTCATGTGGTCAGTCTACACAGGTGAGCCTTGTGGCCATGTATCTATTCTAGTAGAGTGTTGCATAATCTTCTGGAAGACATGATTCAGCCAAGTCTGCTTAGACAGGATTAATCCTTTACCCTGCATGTGATGTTAGAAAGGGACACGGCATTGGGAAAGTCATAATGAGCAGCTACCATTGTCACTGAGCCAGTTTGGATTAGTGTGTGAGAAACTGGTTCTGACAGATGTATGAGCTCAGTGATAGTGAGCAGGCAGGAAAAAACAAAGCTGGTTTGTGGTACACAAATAAGTAAAGCATAGACTGTATAAAAAAGGACATAGCCATGATTTGTAAAGTTGTGAAGTCTTAATTCGAGGATTTCTGTCACGACCTTGTTGATTACATGGAAGTGAGCATAATGTGGAGTGCTAGGTCGTCTGCTAATGCTAGCAAGCTGCATCCATAGACTCAATAAACAGACCCACATACCTCCTTATTACTATTAACAAAATACTGCTCACCAGAAATGTTGCACAGACCTCCTGAGCAGACTGGTAATATAGAAAGCCATTGTCTTTGGTCAGCAGGGAGCATTAAAAATGTTCCAAGAGGCACCAAGATTCTGTGCTTGAATGAGCTGAGGGGAAGCGCCAGTTAAAGGTAATATCTCCATAACTATAATAACTTTATGCAGCTATTAAGATTTGGTAAGTTATCTGCCGAGATCAAAACTTTATTTATTTTGATACATTTCTTTATTATGCTCTAATTTAATACGGCAGTCTACGAGGATCAACTGTTTTGGAGACAGCTTCAAGTGGCCATTAGACGAGCTTAATTTTCAGTGCTGGACAACAAGTATGCACACTAGTGTCATGCTGAGTCGATCATGTCAGTGTAATCCAGATAATGAGCCCTCACATGCAGGCAAGCAGCAGCTTAAGTTTATAATTATAGATGAATAGAGTGATGATGAATTGTTTCTTCTGTGCAGCTCATTGTCATTTAATCCTGCTACTAAAATGATTAAAAGTTACTAGAATAAAATAGTAATAATGCCTGATTACCTAGGTTGGCATTACCCTAAACATTATAAATAAACGAGTTGTCCTTGAGGTACCATTAAAAAAGGTCACGTCTGTGCAGTAAACACAAAGTAACAACTTGCAGTCATTTAGTGTAGTTTAGAATGGCATTTTGATTGATGTGAAAATGCAAACAATCATCTGAATTTCAGACACATTACAGCATAATATATACAAAGCCTCTAAAGCTCAATAATTACCACAATATGCTGTATAAAGCTTGTTTAATTTTATTTTTCTACATTTAACAGAGTGTCAAATATGAATCCAATTTTCAGGCAGTTGCTTCCTTGTATGTGCAGTCTTTTTTCATGCTGTTAGTGCATGATCCCACAGGGGACGTAGATGCTTGCTACGGAGCTCCGCAAGGGACATTGGAGAAAAAAACAGTAAAGCTAAATTTATGCGAGATCTCGCAAAATAGGCTGCATCCTTCACAGGTCGCAGTTGAAGGACGAGACGGTGTATCCGTCGTGGCCCAACCTATTCCAGAATTCATAGCTTGGCCCAGCCGGCTCCAGTATCCAACAATGCAGGCAGCTACGTAGTTTTAATATTAGTCTTTATGGGTCACAAAATAAACTTTTAAGATATTTTCAGGTGTGAATGTAGCTGTGTATATTTTAAGTTTGATTCTGTAAAAAGTGACAAAAACATTAGCGTTTACTGTACACTCTGTGTGGGAAGAAGACTTTCTACAGCAAAAAATTAAACTTCAAATCTGTGCAAGCACCTAGCAAGCCACCACGGGAATGTGAAATTCACAGAGAAACGCCCACTGACATGACTGTTGCAGCACCGGGCACCCACCCCACTCCTGCTAAACAGGTGAAAATAGCTTGAATAGCAACAGGACCTAGTGCCACTGAATCTTTGATTTTATTTATTTTTTGCTGTGTTTTACTTGCAGCTATTTGAAAGAGCGAGTGTAAACACAAAACATTATTTTATTTTATATGCTGGAATATGCAGAAAATAGGTCTAAATGTTAAACAAATTTCTTCAAGCCAAAGACTGTTGCATATAATTTAATTTTTGCTTAATGTAATGTGCATAAAATTAAAAAATTAAAACTAATAAAACAATTTTTAACAAGAGGCTTTCCATTTGATTCAATTTTATATGATGGATTATGCATAAAAAATAGAACTGTGCTAAAAGGTCTGTTGCTTTATTACGTATTCAGGTTGTTTATCATGTTTTTTGAAAGGTAACTAAGTAACTAAGTACTTTTGAAAATAAGTAATGATTAAAGCAATGGGATTACTTTTTTTTTGAGAGTTAATCAGTAATTAGTAACTAATTATCCTTTTCAAGTAACTTGACCAACACTGGTCCTGACCTCATGATAATTAAGATGACATCATGCAGTTTGAATGCAGTTTAATAAATAGATCTTTTGCCACAGACTTAAAATATTTGACAAACCTTCACAGGTTGATATTTAGAGTTTGCATGTGTTTCCTGTTTTGTCCCTGTGAGCATTTACGACAGAAATGGAGAAGCGCTAACAGAATTCATCAGTCCTAATCTTGTTAATCTAGGAGTGTCTATTGTCACATTCCAAAAAAGAGGCATATTCCAGCTTTATACCACCTCAGGTCTCTTCTCAGTCCAGAGCCACACTGAACCCTAGTTATTATGTTTCATATAGGGGCTCCCATGGGAATGACATAATGTCTTATCTTCAGCATCCTTACAATATATGCCGTAAAATGCACATTGATTAGGCAAAATATGTTTGTCTTTAAAAATATAGTCATCTAAGAAAGCATGGATGGACACATGGCTGGAAACCCAGATTTACATTGTAATTATTAACAATAAAACCATGGCCATCAATAGTGTAATTTGCTATCAAAACATACATGAAAAGACAGCATTGAACCTGCAAGGACTCAGTTTTTATTATACTATAATAAGGACAGTGAACTATAATATACTTATATACTATACTATATTATCACTGATGCTGTTATTATTTAGAAAAGGTAGAAATGATCTTTTAAGCATACTCAAAATGCACTAATATTATACAACAGCAGCTCTGCACTGGCAGCTATAATCAAATCATCCTGCTTATCAAATGTTAACTTCCTGCTTGTTTAGAAGTTGATTGAAGAAGTTTAAATATGTGAAGTGGAGTTAAAGTCAGGAGACTAGGAGTGTACCTGACATGGGTGGATGGTGTGTATGCAGGAGTTTAAATGGTGATACTAAAAGCTCCTCCTGAAAATACTCTTTTATCAACACCCACTGTGTCAAATACTGGCATTACATTAGATGTCACTGACTGTTTTAAGTGCAAACAGATACAAAGTCCTGGTGTTTTTACCTCATTTGAGTCCCAACTCCTGACTTTAAGCTGTCCCGTGGTTCTAATTATAGTCATCTATCATCCACCTAAATATAACGACTTTTTTCCTTCGGAATTTTCAGACTTCTTGACATGTTTTATCGCTCACTATGAAAGGATTCTTATATGGGGGGACTTTAATATTCATCTGTGTTGTGAGGATAAACCCCTGGTCAAAGATTTCTTAAATGTAATTGATTCCTCAAATTTCACACAATCTGTGTCTGGGCCAACATGTAAAGGCCACACCCTAGACGACGCCCCGCCACACACATTAACCTGGTAAAATACATATTTAGGCAGAATTTTGCAAATATCTATTTTTCATTTTTCAGCAGCATAGTGCTTTTTTTCGAATTATTTTTAAAAGTCAAGTCAAGGCTCCAAAAGCCCAAAGGCGATATAAGGGAGGTGGCTCACAACAGTTTTTGTTTGCTACATGGATCATTTTAGTTCAGGTTGGTGTCTTTCCTTTTGTTATATTTCTTTAAGAGTTCAAAATGTAATTTTCTCTGTAGCACTTCATGGATTTCATAAGCAACACACCATAGTTGTTCACACAAAGCATAAAGGTATAAAACAATATATACGGTGTTATCTTCATTTTAGATGTCAAAAAGTATTTGCGGCTCCCAGTGTTTTCTTTTGCATGGAAACCAGGTCCAAATGGCTCTTTGGGTCTTAAAGGCTGCTGACCCCTGCCCTAGACCTTGTCTCGGGTTATGGACTGAATGTATCGGTGACTGAAAACTGTGTTTTACCTATTTTAGACCACTCAGTAATTTTAGTTGATATTTTAATCCCTAAATCTTCAGCTTCTGACAAGGGAAAATTACTCCTGAGATCATCTCGTCATATTAGCCCCGAAGCATTGCTTGGAGTTAAATTACATTTACCTGATGTGTTGGACCCCATTTTTACCCAGGAGTTATGTGTGGACACCTTGACTGCGAACGTTAATATTATACTTCTTCTACTGGACTCTGTTGCACCTGTAAAGAAGTTAAAATGTCAACAAAGGAACCCTATGCCCTGGTTAAATGAGGAGCTCTTGAATTTGAGAAGAAATTGTAGAAAAGCAGAGCGTCGCTGGCAATCTTCCAGACTAGAAATATTTCTCCAGGCTTGGAAGGACTCAATGTCTTTTTTTCAATCAGCGATGTCTGCAGCGAAAGCAAATTTCTTTCTTTCAAATTTCTCAAATCTCATCATGAGTCATAAACATAACTCAAAACTCTTATTCAACACAGTGTCGCAACTTACAGAG